TAACATATATCTATTTCTCTTGAACAGTTGCCTATCTTTGGCATCTCCTGTACCATCCCTTGGCAACATAATGAGTATGTTTTAATCCTAAACCATGCAGTGAATCCACAGATGCAATATCTTGGTGACGTTCCCCTTGTAAGACTTGGGTCATCTGTTGGATCCAACGTGCAGTTGAAGAGAATTCCATATCCCTCAGCATCACTGTGATTGTTCCAAGAGTATGGGCATCTGGGAATTGGGCCAGCTAGACCTTTTAACCTCATGCATAAAGTAATTGGAAAGTCTCATCAGCATGGGCATTCAGATGAGCTCCCATTAACATTGTCTTAAATTTCTTTCTCTTATGCCCAGCCTGCTTTAGCCTCCTGCCAAGTCCTCCCATGTATTACTGGACATCCCCAAAGTGTCTCATCTCCTCACTCACCTGCCAGTCAGGCGTCTATACAGTCCGACTCCACCTTCCCCTGCTCTGGACCCTCCACTCAGAACAGGCTGACAGGAAGTCCCCTGTAGCAGTAGCTGGTAATGTTCATGGTGAGAGCGCAGTGTTTATAACACATGTAATACTGGCCCAACCCACTAACCTTCAAGGAGCCAGAGCTGAGGGGTGGCTCATGGGGGTAGAGGAGAATGATCCCCGTTCTATTTCTGTGCCATACTTTGATAAGTACAAGAAGGGCTGCCTTGGGGTCCAGGTGATCATACTGTTACAAAATAACTCCTTAGGCTTCTAGCCCTCACCTTTATCCCCATCCAATAGTAACTCAGCTTTAGGAATCCATTGCAGGAAGAGACTAGAGTATGTCCTCAATTCTCCATGTCCATGTCCTCCTTCTAAGCCTGTACAAAACAAACAAAATAAAGAAAGCAACACACACTTTCTCCTCACACCCAAAACAAGAGCTTTCACGGATACTCACACATAAAAAATTATACACAGAATAGCCCCAAATGCTGACCTTGATCTACGTTTAGTAAAAGCATCACTCTGCCCTGCACAACGTCAGTGCTTTATAGGGTAGCCCCTCTCTCCAGGGCTCCAGTCCCTGCTGAGGACTCACCATCTCCCTCACTCACTGTGCCTTGTAGAGACTGCACAGTGAGCATTCCTTGCCGCCTTGATTTGCTCCTTCAGCAGTTCTGCTAAAGCTGCAGTAATGTTATACGACAAACCGCCCTCAAACTCCATAATTTAAAAACAATCATTTATTCTACTTCATCTATTTGGATTTGGCTGACCGGACTTGATCTCAGGCTATAGATGGGGTCCAGATCTACTCCTTATGTTTTCTTCCTCCTCGTTAGACCACCGGGATAGTGACGACACTTTCTCCTCATGGCAGAAGAAGAAAGGCCACCCAACAGCACAAGTACATTTGCAGTCCCTGCTGTGTCATGTCTACTAATCTGCCATCAGGCAAAGCAGGTCGCATGGTTAAGCCCAGTGTCAGCTGGGGAGGGAGGCACGCAGCTGGGGAGGGACACAGGGGCCAGGACTGGGGAGGACAGGGAGTGAATATCTGCCAAATGATAATCTAATCTCCCACAAAGCTCACATCCAAATTTACATGGTCGGTAAACATGCCATCAGATATAGTCAAGATTTTGCCTGACGCTGTCTGTTTGTGCGGGGGAACACTTTCATGCTCATATTGTAGGACCGTGTGTACAAAGATTTCACATCAAAGCTTTATTATGTGGATCTTTGGTCAGCTCCCAGCTGACTCTGTTTGAAGCAGTGATCACTTGCTCAGTGAGGGATTCTTGATTTCCAGCACCAACTCAGCCTTGTCCTTAAAGGAATCATACCTTTTTCTTCTCTGCCTTATATTCTATACCCTTTAAATTGCCTAGACTTCCTCTCTCTCTCTATCCCTCCACTTTCATTTCTGCTTGGTGCAGACTTCTATTCCTGTCCCAAAATATTTTGGAGAAGTCTGTCATGGCTTTGAAAATCCAGAGGAAGATGAAACAGAGGACCTGTCCTACTTCCAGTAGTTATGAGTATATGTGTTGGAGTAAGAGGCAGACAGAAATGAGTTGGGGGATAATATCACCAGTGGCTAAATAAGAACAGCAAGCCTCCTACCATGCACAAGCGCCCTTTCTGCAGCTGAGAAGGGGTACAGTACTCTACATGGGCCCCCTTTCCTCTGTTATTTTGCATACCATCTGATCTGAAATAGTCACATAGGAAAGTTCTTTCGTGGTGACAATGACATTGTTGTAGTCCTGTGTTTAATTTTTTAAAGTCAATATTTGCAGAAAACATAAGCACAGCATGAGGTTGCCTTGGAGTTGTTGATTAATCCCTTTCTGCAGCTTCCCTTCTCTGAAGTTCCTTATCTGTTTTCAGCTCATCATTAGTCCCGTAATGGGGTGTGTGCCTGTGTGTGTGAGCACATTATTACATTGCCCCAAAGCTTAGTAAAGACATAACTCCTTGTTGCCATCCTATACAACAATTAGTACAAAAGTTTAGGATTGACTTAACCCAGCATCCTTGGGAAACAAGGACCAGCCACAAATACCTGAGAGAAGTAATGATGGCACTGACGTGACCTCCATCCCTGACATGCCAGGGATATTTGCCATCTGTACAAGAAAACATAACCATGAAGTATATAGTTCTTTGATAGCCATTTCATATGCAAACCAAAGGAGATTCACGGACACATGTGGTGACAAAAAAGCCACACTTTGAATTGGTGGAGCCTTGAATGACCTTGAGGGTTCTACACCTCAGGACACTGAAATTTCCAGGATGATCACCAGGAATTTTTCACTGTGCTAAAACCCCTTCACTCTCTGCCCTCGCTTTCAGATGCCAGCAGGTAGATTCAGGAAAATATGTGAAAAGCTGTTCTGTAAAAGAAAATGGGAAAGATTTTCAGCTTCCGAACAACTTTCCCTTCCTCCTTCCTAGAGGTTTAAACAAATTTTAATCACAAATCCCCTGGGTCATTGACTTTCAACCCATCCACTACAATGTAAGATAACTTTCATTTTTCTGTCTGTTTATGTGATTACTTGTGTAGCCTGCAGACCTTCAGAGAGATGTAACATTGGCTTCCTTCAAATATTAGGGCTTTATTTTATTTTCATTTCTAAAATGTAAAGTCTGCGTGTCTTAGCTTGGGATCATTAAGTGCCAAGAAATTAGCTGAGTAAAGTGGCTCATAGAACTTGGGACAATTATAGCTTCTTCCAAAGCAGAAAAGAACTTCTAAGTCAAGGTCATTCAGTAAATCTCCTATGGAATGCAAATTCTATTAAGTTCTACAAAACCCTTTTTGCTGGGAAAGAAGTAAAAAATAACTTGCAAATCATTTGAAAAACTTAGAAGTCATTCAGATTTCTTGGGCAAAGACTGCCCTCAAATTTCTGTCTATTCCTTCAAGCAATTTTATAGACTCATAAGTCCTCCTTCCTCCCATCCAGAGCTGGGCCCACAGGACTTGCAGCTTGATCCCAATTCCTCTGTGCCAGCATATCTGCTAATGTCCCAAGTGGCTTTCTTTACAGCCGCGTGATCATCTGTGTATTATTAACTAACCGCAAATTAAAGTCATTACTTGGTGCTTAATTTTATGTAACATTTCTTTGTAATGTGTACAAAAGAAATTTGTTTTTAACAGGAGTTTGGTAAATAGTATGTGCCATGATTAATTAGAGAATATAGTGGGTGTGCTGATTGGAAATTAAATTCAGTGAAACAATTTTCTTAAAAATAATTTATTAAGTGACATTTCAAGGTACGTGAATTTTTTTCTAAAAGGAGGAAGAGGAGAAGAAGGTGTCCTGCATTGATAGACCTAATGCCCTCTCTCAGATGTTTATTGGCCTTTGCCAGCTACAGGACTAATTTTTATTTTTCTCAAATCTACAAGCACTGTAAGGAACAGCAGCATTCAAAGAGGTATTTTAAATCTTTTTTGGAAAAAGGCTGAACATAAATGAGTAAACTAACAAAGAAGCAAATCCTGAGATACTTGGAGGTCAATTATATAGTATGGTTCACTCCCCACTGGCTAAATGTGCTCTTTATCTTTTGATGCACCACATACATTCCCCTGTAAGGGCATTTGCACCTTTTTCTTCTGCCTCGACATCACTCTCCCTGGGTCTTCATGTGGCTCAAATCTTAGGAGATTTGTCAGACCATGCAAGCTAAGGGAGTTCCCTGTCCCAGTGGCAGTCTCTATCACATCACTTTCTTCGTCACAGAACAAATTCCTCCATGTACTGCTGGGCTCTGCGTTTCTCTATTGTTCTTCCCCTGACTTCTGCTATAGAAAGTGAAACTCGTCAAGAGCAAGCTCATGTCCGTCTCGTCCTCTCTAATGCCTGCCATATAAGTAGGTGCTTAGTGGATCTCTGTGAAACGAATGAGTGGATTGCACTGTACTCACAAGCCAATAACTTGCTATACTCTTGATAGAGAAGTATAACTGCTTTCAGGTTTTCTTAAAGGGACAGAAAGAGAAATTCAGTATATATTGGCTAGGTATGAGATGCCTTGCAATGAAACAAAGATTTAAAATGTGAGCAAACCACATAGCAGGAAGGGAAAGAAGTCAAGGTTGCTACTGCACCAAATGCCATCTGCGGAGGAAGGCTTCAGTCAGTTGGCTCTCACTGCCATTCTAATCCCAGCACCCTATTGAACTGTTTCCATTAAAAGGACTTAGTCAAGCCACAATCTTGAAAAACTTATGGTGTTCTATCCAAACCAGCTTAAAGAGGATTCAACTGGTCAAAGATGGGATGATTTGAGCATCAGTAGAATAACAAATGAAATGTACTGATGTATATCGAGTATATTGCATAAATCTAGTGTGATACCAGAAAAAAGTAAACTCATTAATCATTTTGAATGTATGCTAGGGAGCCAGTTTATTATTCAAAAACTGGTCTCAGCATAACCAAAAAGGCAAAGAGAAGTTGGTCTTCATAGAATTTTTCTAGTTAATAATTGATTTGGGAATGGTAGAATATCACCGCTTTGCACCCTCATGATAAGTAAGAAAGTAGATGATCAAAGATGGTGAATAGAGAGACGTTTCCATTGTAGATAATTTCCGAAGTTGGATGAACTTCTTTGGAGCTTCACTGTCCAGTTTCATCTGGACAGAGAGTGGTACACCAGTGCTGAAGTGCAGATCCTCAGTCCACTGAGGCATCAGTATAATGTGCTCAGTTGCTTCGATTAAAAACTATTGGGAAAGATATGTCTAGGTGGGGAAAAGTAACTTCTTACCATGATGGTACAAGAGACAAATCAAAGCAGCAAACAGCAGGCTGTGACACTTACCTCTTGAAGGTCAATAATCATGTAGGTGTACAGTCCAAGCAAATCAAGCAGTAACACGTGGCCATGGGGTAGAGAGGTGAGGAGGTTGCCACCAGATCTGGACAACTTCAGATCTTCCTGGATTCCCAACATAAAGTTGGAGGGGTTATGGCCACTCAAGGTTTAAGACTATTCTCTGACTAGTGCTTCAAAATGGCATAAGAAGCTCATTCTTTTGAGTACATCTAAAGTCGGTGTTCTTTTCTGACAGTGCCTTCTGTGCTTCAAAGGCATAGATGATTCCCTGTTGATCCTCAGCCACTCCCCAATGGCAAGAAGACTTTCTTGGAATATGGGAACAATCTATCCGTCTTTAGTTGGATCGCTGTTAATGAGATAGTTGCTCCTGAACTTGGTATCCCTACCAGTTCAGAAATGATTTCAGATTCAGTGTCTGACGTACGATGTTGCAGTGATAGCGTCAGGGTTTCTTGTTGATAGTGGAGCCTGCCTCCTGCCATGGTGTGGCAGCTGCCCCATGTTGAATTTATCTTGACAGTCATAGTATCCTTCATGGTGGCAGGAGCCTTTCTGTCTCCATCAGCCACTTACTATCACCTCATCCCTGATGAGACTATCATTGTAGAGCCAAGAAAGGAAATTTGTAGAGTTCCAGTAAGTCTCAGGACATTCCAACTTTGCATCAGACCAGATCATATCAGGTTTGTTAACAAGATCATCTTGATCAGGCATCGCTTCACACCAACACAATTCTGCACTTGGAAGCAGTTTTTCTTACCAGGTAGGTAGATGGATGGAAATGTTCTAAGAGGAGTGATGGAGTCCATAGCCTATTTCCTCTCCTTAACAGCTGCTTTCAACTCACCAGCCAAATCCCACCAGGACCTCAGGTTCCCAGAGTGTGTGTTCCAGGGGACAGGACTCAGCCAGTTTGTGAAGCCTTCATGATGCTTTGGCATCAGGACTATGTATCTGGCCTCTTCAGCCTGGAAGAGGTTGGCCCACTCATCCAGAAAATGTTGTGGCAGAAAAATGCTTTGAGCCACAGACCAAAGTTAGTGTAGCTGAAGTTGGGTGGGTAGTTGACATTCATGAAGTGCTGGCCCTTCCTGCCACCAGAAACCCTCACTGCCTCAGCTAAGAACATGCCCCATACACAAACACCCCAAACTTGGCCTTTCCAAACCAGTGCAGCAACAGACAGGAATCCAAGCTTGCCAATCCTAGATCTACCTGCACAGGGCCCTGAGTACCTACGCAACCACCAGGAGCTGCAGCAGCTTTGGGCCACTGTTGCTCAGAATGAGGCCTGTGACCTCATCTCAGGAACCTGGGAACCTGCAAATTAACAGACTTTTAATTGCCCAATTCTAATGAATGCACCTTTTTTGGATCCTGACTCAAGCAAACAAACAGCTTTGCCATGTGTGGCTATGCTTTTCGGAAAGCAAGGCCAGTATGGCACCACAGAAATAGGTGGATCTTGCAGCAGAGCTCAGGAAAAGCAGAGAGCAGTGGGCTGAGAAGTCGGGGGGAAATGCAGGCTAACAGAGCTGATGTGCACCTTCTCACCTGTACAGGACTTGTCACAATATCATTTATTATCAATTGTCTCAAAGCTTTCCCTGGGGAAATGGTTTGGTCTAAATAAAATCCCAGAATAGGGATCCAGAAAAAGATTAGCTATATTAAACCATGCACTCCCATTCAACTAGAGATAAAACAAAAGAGGAAGGAGACATATCTCCAAATTCAATTCTCCTATCATCCGTTACATTTTATGGAGAACTTATGTCATTCACAAAAGAGATGAAGTTTCCCCAGGGGAGACAGCAGGTGTACATTTCCTTTCAAGGTTATTTAATTGCTGTCAGGAAGACATATGATTAACAAAACCAAACGCTGGAAATATGAAGTATAGACAATTTTAAAGTTGTTTATATAGTTGATTACAGTATATCATACAATGTATATATTTGCCATAAACCTGCCTATCACAAACTGTTTCCACACCTGTGTGTCAGCGCTCAGCAGCCCACCGCTTAGCTCACTTAAGCCTCCGTCTGTGGAATGCACAGCAGCAGAAGCAGAAAGTTGCTTCTCCTGGGGGCCTCTCTGAGCCCCTCCCGTGCACCGGTTTCCCATGGGTGGTTTGACCCTCTCCATCTGGGGCTGAGGCCTGTTAACTTTTAGTGTCCCCTGCTGGATGGGAGACTCGGAGAGCCATGGAAGGGAAACAGTAAGAACGTGCTGACCTGCCTGGGTCCTCGCTGTCCTCCATGACATTGTTTCTCAGAGTGAACCTGAGCCTGTCATCAGCTGTCTACTGGATTGACGGAGCATTTAAAATGTGGAGAGCCATTGGGCAGCATACGTTTATGTCTGTTGAATCTCATAATAAAAAAGGGACTTGAATTTTATATGCATTGTTTTTTATTTCCACGTTAAGTTACTTTTATCACACTTACCAAATACCAGTTGGTGACAGATTGGACATAAAGAACTGACACTTCCCGCAGGTAGTTTGAGAAGCATTACTTTATGGAGACAGCCTGGTGCAGAGACTCCAGGCTTCCCTCCGACGTTCTGATAGCACTCAAAGGCCAGCCATGGTAAAAGTGTGCACCCGCAGAGATGGCCTCCCATGAGGTTACTCACAAGCAAAAGGCAGGTAGCTCGTGTCCTGCATATATGCCTGGTTCACTGCCAGGAAGCAGCAGGTCTAAGGCAACCAAGCCAGCTGAGCCCTAGTCACAGCACAGTTCTTAGGTCTTTCAATACTAGCAGTAGTGTGAATAAGAGAAGGAGGAGGAGGAGTAAAAGGAGAAAGGAAGAAGGAAGAGTGGGTGAGAGGGAGGAGAAAAGGATTATATAGGGCACACGGTCCTAAATGCTTTACATTCACAAAATAGCAAGTGATCTTCCACTCTCTTTAAAGTGCTATCTGGTCTACCCTACAGGTACATTGGGAAAGTTACTATCAAGTCTACTTACAGTGATTCCTTGTGTAGCTGTGAATGTTTGCTAATGACTGACTCTTTCTTTCTTTCTTTCTTTCTTTCTTTCTTTCTTTCTTTCTTTCTTTCTTTCTTTCTTTCTTTTTCTTTCTTTCTCTTTTTCTTCCTTCCTGTCTTTCCTTTTTTCTTTCTTTCTTCCTTTTTTTTCTTTCTTGAGACAGGTTTTCACTACACAGTGAAGCCTAGCCTTGAATTCACTATGTAGCCCAAGCTGGCCTCAAACTCATGGTGATCCTACTGCCTCAGCCTCCAGGTGCTGGGATTATAGGCATGCACCATCATGCCTGGCCCATGACTGATTTTTTTCTTAGACTATTTTAAGGTATCATGCCAAGCATGCTAGAGACAATAATTTAAGAATAGAAATTTAATATTGAGAAAATGCAAGTTTTGGTTCAGACATTGGCCACATAACATAGAAAGAAAGATTAGTAGCATAAACACAGCATTCAGTGGGAAAATATGGAGATAGCTTGACTTCCATTTTTATATTTTGTTGTTGCATTTGGAAATCCTCAAGCATAACTGGGAGAAAAAAATGTATAGGAAGCAAAGACAACATAACAAAACACACATCACAGCATAGAGATATGTATTTGTCAGCTTTGTGTCACTATAACAAAATATATGAGATGATTAACTTACAAAGAAAAAGGGTTTATTTTTAGGTCATGGTTTTAGACATTCTATTCCAAGATTGGGAAGACTTATTTCTTTGAGCTTCTGTTTTGTTTTATTTTTGAGACAGGTTCTCACTGTAGTTCAGACTGGCCTTGCACTCACTATGTAGCCTAGGCTGGCCTCAAACTCACAGTGATCCTCCTGCCTAAGCCTCCCAAGTAGATGTACGCAACCAACCCTGGCTGTTTTGGGCTTCTAGAGGGTAAGCCAAATGGCAATGGTGGAGAGGCCATCATAAAGAAAACTGCCTTGTGCCCAGGACACAAAAGAGAAGAAGGAAGGGTGTGCCCCCAGAGGGCAAACCTCCAAGAACCTAGGGGCCTCCCAGTAGTCTACAACACCTAGCAGTAGCACAGTTCTGGGTCCCAAGCCTATATCTCATGACTCTTTAGGGGACACTGACCCAAACCACCACAAGACATTAACAAATTACAAATCTTTTATCTACTAGTTTAAAGTTATTCCCCTCAAATAAACTGAAAAGGCCAAGAAAAATTTCAGATATATATTAGTATTCCTTGCCCCAACGTTGGAGTTTAATAAATATTCAAATTTCATAAAGTCTGCATTTAACAAACAGAATCCATTCCTCAAGAATGAGCCATCATACACTCTGGTTTCTTTCCCCCTTCCATAATCTCTACGATAACCAGAGCCATCCATCCCTACTACCAGAATTCCTGCTTGGTTGGGGAGTCAAAAAAAAGTCTCAAACAGATTTGGAGCACACTGGTGTAGGAAAAGATTAAGGCATTCACCCTGGGGAAACATAAATGGCGCTGGTGGGAAACTGGCTCCTGCATCCTCTTTCCACAGCCTCTGCCCCTCCTCAGGGTTGGTGGATAAGCTGGTGCTTGACTCCATAGGATAGCAGATGGCTCCAAACACAAGTGAGCAGCGAAGGAGGTGTTTTCTCCTAACTGACTAAAATTTCTTCTCCTCACAAACTTAAAACCTAATAGTAAAATAATAATGTTCAATCTCCATCAATTAATATTCACTGAGAGCCCATAACATTCCAGAACTGTGACTCCTGTCCCCAGGAGCTTCACCCTAATTAACCAGGAATCTCCAAAGATCCCTCTTCACTGTAATTCTGAAACTCTAGAGATGAGATCATGGCTGTAGGCCTCCCATGAGGCTGAGGATCAGAGAAGGAAAGGTGACATAGCCAGATAAAGGTAAGTTCAGGACAAGTAGGGAGAGAAGGTTAGGGACATTTCTAGGAAAGGAAGTACCAACTTTTCTTCCTTTTTTTGTCTCTTTGCTTTTCTTCCTTCTTTCCTTCCCTTCCCCTCCACTCTCCCTCCTTTTCACTCCCCCTTGACCTTCCCTCCCACGCTTCCCCTCCCCTTTTCTCTCTCTTTTTTTTCTTTCTTTCTTTCTTTCTTTCTTTCTTTCTTTCTTTCTTTCTTTCTTTCTTTCTTCCTTTCTATCTTTCTTTCTATCTTTCTTTCTATCTTTCTGCCCTGTTTCTTTCTCTACTTTCCTTCTCTCTCCTCCTTTCTCCTCCCCTCTACTCCCCTGTCCTCCTTCCCTCTCTCTCTCCCTCTACTTCTCCTTCTGTCCCTCATCCTCCTTGCTGTCCTTGTCCTCATCCTTGTCCTCCTCCTCCTTGTCCTCCTCCTCCTTGTCTTCCTCCTCCTCCTCCTTCTTCTTCTCTGCCTCAAGTTTGTTTGCACAAACATCATAGGACACCAGGCCCCTGCCCATCCCTAGGGTTTCCAGTCATTTCATCCTCACATTGACAGATAGACACCTCTACCTTGGAGCCTTCATAGAAGGAGCCTTCATAGAAGCTTGGCTATCTTTAGAAGCCTGAGCTGGAGGTGGACCTGGAGCTGGACCGATATCCTTCAGCTGGGTTTGAACCTTATTTATGCTTTCTGGTGAGCAGAGCCTGAAAGTCTTGGCAATGCTGGCCAGAGCACACTTCCTATGGGCGCTTAAAGTGTGCAATCAGGTGAGTTGATTGAGTTTGCTGCTGACATCCCTTCAGATCTTTGATCTTCATGGAGGCACTGGTGGCTCCAGAATATACACTCATGGCCTGGGTATTGGTACCCTACATCTTCTCCAAGCCCCTCTTCTTGCATTTCTTGACAAAGCACACATTCATCAGGAAATTTGGGTTTACCCCCTTCAGAAATTAGTGTTTTTGTGCTAAGGGTTTCTTGATGGCATTTGTGCTCAATTTTCAAGACTATTTGTGCCTGGGTTGTTCTTACACTTGGCCACATCTACATCACAGCCTGTGGTTTCCAAAGCCCAGAAGAGAGAGAAAGGGCCCAGGTAGTTTCTGTGTTATTCCTCATATCTTTATATCAACAAGAAATAGAGTAGCTCCTTATAAAATGCCTTCAAAAATTGCTATTTTATCTTCCTATGACAGTGATAAGAGGACTGTTAATATGGTATTTCCATTTTACAGGTAAGAAAACCAAACTTCATCAAATAGGTGCTTGCCCAAGGCCACACCTGGTTGGAGCAGAGTCAGGGCCATAACTGATGTCCTCTGCTGGAAAGCCCGCTGCTCTTTGTGGCTCACAGCTGCCTGTGAGGTCTTTTCCTGGGTTTTTTTCTTTCAAGTGTTTCACAGCCACCTCGAATTGAATTTATCCAAAAGAAATTCCTGATCAGTCCTTCAAGTTGCTTTCTTCTCCTGATTTCTATATAAAAATTCTGGACACCATCTCTGACATCTTGTCTCATTTTCCCACATCCAATCTACACCAAGTTTTAGAAATTGTACATCGCAAACACTCTTCTTACTACTTCTGTCTCCAATAACTAGTCCAAGACTCCTGAACCTTTGTTAAATAAATGTTAAATTAGAATGTGAATTAATTTATCGATTAATTAATGATACCAGAAAGACAAGCTACATGGGGAGCAAGCTAGATCTCTTTTTAAAAATAAAGATTTTGAGAGGTTTCTTCAAAATAAACTAAGAAAAAATTAAGTTTGTGAGTCACTATTTTTGTTCTAATCTGCTAGGTGGTATTGATAGTAATCATAGAAATATTTTAAATTTGCATTTTGACTTCTCTAAGAGCAACCCAGATCTTTTCTGGAACAAAGCAGTTTAAATTAAATACATTGTTTAAGAACAAAAGAAACTGCTGCTTTAGATAGATTATCTAGCTGTCCTTTCAAAACCACACTCTTAAAGATAGGCAAACCGATCTTATTCAAATATGTAGATGGAAGAATAAGGTGCAGAGAGACAAAATGACTTGCCTGGCCTCTGGAATGGCCACACCCACATGGCATATTTCTCAGAATTTGCCACCCTCTTTAATGCATCTCTGCTCACATTTTAATGGCTTGAGACAACTAAGAAACAGAGAATAGAGTAAACTCTCTGATGTAGTGGAAGCCCGGGCACTGCAGCTCAGAAGTCATGTTTGCTCTGTGCTTCTGTTTTTTCTCTTCCTCCTCCTCCTCCCTGCTGTTTTAGAGCTACAG